TTCACCACTAAACATTTTATTGATTGTTGGTTATATGACACATTTAAATTTTGACCTATCAGTGGCTAATACTTAAGAATTAGTGGTTTGGGCAAAGGACATTAATAGACATTACTCCAAGAAGACATAAATATGGACAATAATCATAAGAAAAGTTGTTCAACATCACTAATCATCAGGAAAATCAGATCAAAACCACAATGAGATAACTTCACACCCATTAGAATGATGATTATCAAGTAAACAGAAAATAACAAGTGTTAGTGAAGATGTGGATGAATTAGAATCCTTAGGTTCTAGTGGGAATGTAAAATGATGCAATCACTATAGGGAACAGTTTTGGGCCTTAAAAAAATTAAACATAGTAATCACATGATCTAGAAATTCCACTTCTGTATGTGTACCTAAAAGAATCCAAAGTAGGGACTCAGGGGTAAAGGGTCATCAGAAGGAAAAATAACCAAAGACCTTTGCACAAACCATAACCTACACGTGCTACAATGATCCCTGCTTCCATAAGGGACAGATTTACAAGGGTCCAAAGAGTCACTTTTAGGAGCTACTCTAGTTGGGAAGCTTTCAGTTGGGATAAAAAAAAAAAAGACCCAATGTCAGACCTCTTTCCTTGGATGGGAAACTGTAGTTATCTCTTGTACCACTGAAGTTTTCTGTTTTGTTTTTATACAATGATCTGAATAAAAAATGCCAATGTTAAAAAAAAGAAGAGGTATTTGTATACTAATGTCCATAGCATTATTCACAATAGTCACAAGGTGGAAACAACCCAAGTGTCCACTGATGTATCAATAGATAAGCTAATATGGTATATACATACAATAGAATGTTGTTCAACCTTAGAAAGGAATGAGCCCCTCCCTGTTGGAAAATGGGTTAGGACACAGCACTGCAAAGTAGCTGCAGCCTCTTCAATGCCAGCTTGACCTCTGTCCACATGGCACGGCAGACCTCTCCTGACCTGCCCTCAGCAGTGTACTTCATTAATCTGCTTGTTCTTTTCCCCACTCTGACTCTGGTGAAGCCTCTCACCGCCCCTGCACCTCTGGCTTGTACCCCAGTTCTGTATGCATAAATAAAAAATAAATCTTAAAAAAAAAAGGAATAACAAATGAGATTCTGACATATGCTACAACATGAATCAACCTTGAAGACAATATGCTACATGAAACAAACTAGATCTGAAAGGACAAATATTGTATGATTTCACTTATGTTAGATCCCAAAAGTAGTCTGATTCATTGAGACAGAAAGTAGACTGAAGTCTACCAGGACTGAAGGAAGAGATAATGAGAGGCTACTATTCAGGCTACCATTCATTGGGCACAGGATTTCAGTTTGGGAAGATGAGAAAGTTGTGGAGACAATGGTGGTAAAGACTGCACACAATGTGGATGTACTTAGTGTCATAAAACAATACACTTGAAAATGATCAAAATGGCAATTTTATGTTGATGTGCATTTTAATATAATTTTTAAAAAGCAGATAGAATATACATCCAAACTTTTAGCCTAAAAGCAATCTTTTCTATAGCCATATGCTCTCCTTTCTTTAGAATACAAATTATATATTTTTGACATTTTCTTCACCAAAGCATCATCGGTTCCTTCCATTTTGTTGTTTGGGTCCTTGTCTACTAGGCACAACCCTTCCTTGAAGATCTGATGATCCTTGTCCACCCACTCATCTTTGGAATGAGGCAACAACTGACTGGAATTGTGTGAACAAGGTTTATCATCTGATAGACCTAATTAGACAGGACATTTCAATGGGGACTCCCACAAGAAACATGGGCTGGTCAGTTCCTCTAGAGAGAAACTTTCAGTCTCCTGGGGTGTGGAGTGGGGTGGGGAGCTCACACTTCTCTGCCAACATACTGGGAGACGTCCGGAGAAGGAGGCTCGGGCCTCGCTGTTCTGTGTGTAGTCTTTCCCTCCATCTTCAGATTTTTTTAAACTTTAGCTTTGGTGTCCTACCCTCAACTCTGGTTTTTGTCCCTACACCAAGACTCTCCCAACAAATATTTTCTGGAAATTAAATCACCCATTTTCTGTTAGTTTTAGGAAAGGTCTCCTGCTGGTTTTCTGAAGTGCAGGCGAATATCTGGAGGGAAGAAAAGTTTTGATGTTACAGGATGTTTTTGGGTCTGGCATGTTGCTCATAAGCCAAACCTTGAGAGACAAAAATTGGTGGAAGGGAACAGGTAATATCAGATGTTGGAATACCTGAGGACATGGGAGACTATTGTGACAAAGTCTGCCTCTGTTAACTGGGGGGAAACAGGCCCTTATCTGGAGGAGTACTAAGGAAAGGGAGAGGCTGAAGGGCTTCAGAAGATAGGCAGCATTTCCCAGGAACTGCTTCCACAACCCCTTTCCTTCCAAATCTGAGTTTTTTGCAAAAAAAAAATTATTTATTTATGCATACAAGAACTGGGGTACAGGCCAGAGGTGGGGGGGGTAAAAGGATTCACCAGAGACAGAGTGGGGAGCAGAACAGGCTTCAGTCAGTGGCACACACAGAAGCTCTCCTGTCGACCCATCAGTGATCAGTCTGTCTTCTTCTCTCAGCCTCTTCACAGTGTGAGATACATTTGGCCATGAAAATACCCTCCCTGGGTTCTCCTCATACCTCACTCTCTCATCTCTGGAGCTGCTGCTTTTGTGTGATGCCCAAACATCAGAGAAGCTGAGGGCACAGCTTTCTCTGTCTTCTCCTCTCCATTCTGTATTCTCTGCTCAGTGACCTCAGCCTGGCGTATGCAGGCAGGGTTGCCAGGGTTCCAGGTTCACCGCTCCAGCTGTAAGTCCAGTTGGAGTTTCTTCACCCAAATGTCTAGTTGTACATCAAACAGCATTTCCAGACAGGCCCCCCTAAATCTGTTATTCCTCCAAAGTCAAAATCCATACCTCCCTCTCTCCCCCTCACAGCTATATCTTCTCCATTGCATTCCTGTCTTGTATACTTCTTTATTTTCTCTCACATTTGATTTTTTTTAAAAGATTTATTTACTCATACAGAACTGGGGTACAGGCCAGAGATGCCGAGGGTGAGAGGATTCACCAGAGACAGAATGGGGAGCAGAACAGGCAGATTGAAGAAGTACATTGCTGAGGGAGCAGCAGGCCGGTCAGGAGAGGTCTGCCTCGCCATTTCCAGGTGGGAA